AGGTCAATGTTGCACTCGCCCAAAACCTAGAATGTAGTAGCAGGAATTAAAAGTCTACGCAAATTTCTACAAAGGATTCTACTAACTTCAGTATAACTATCATCCCTCAATACCATTTTATATAGACAAACTCAAGACAGTTTTGGTATCTTGCACCTTGCCTTCCCACTAAAACTTACTATAATTATCTTGATTGCACCCCTGCCTTATTTGTGTAGCTTTCACAAATACTCTGAGACAAACTGATTTTAATGAAGCAGTATCAAAGGACACATGCCTGGATTAAATGTTTAAAAGGGCTTCTTCTACCAAACAAAAAAAAGCCTCTTATTATGAAAACTGGTTGCATCCAGATGTGATGCGCTAATAGCAAAGGTAGCTTTAAAGCTCCATTCCAGTTTTAAAGGGCCTTTTAAGTAGTTTTAAGATGCACCAAACCATGCTGAATGTTGACTGTCAGTATACAATACAGTAAAGTGTGAAGCTAGACATGCTACCAAGAACTGTTATCCATAAATCTGAACACATTAATTTGGCTTGAGATCTACAGCACCGCACTAATGGGAACAGCACATGAGCTACTTCATGCATTAAGGAGAATGTTTGCTTCCATACTTCTCCCTGTTGTATCTGTGACAAAAAACAACCATTTTCACCACCTTCAGAATCTCCTCACTATGTTAGGATTACACCTTCCATAGAAAGAGAATTGATAGGAAATGCTTTCCAGGGAGAAAGTCATTGGAATTTCTTAGTTCCATGTTTAAGGGCTCAAATAAAGCAAATAGATTTATTTCTCTTATTCTGAAGTTCTAAAATGCTTGTGTCTGTCTAACATCCTGTGTGATGTAGGCTCTTGTGGCCATAGTTCAACAACATTCTGAAACAGTCATACACACTTAAGTCCACATCATCTTTTCAGATGCAATTTCATAAAACTTCATATGAACAGCCTACTACTTTTGTTTTAATTTTTCCTAAGAGTTTTGGGGAATTCGTTTTTTCTTCAGAGGTATGGCTAACAGAAATTAAACACTATACTTAGAAAGCTGCGTGGGATGGCAATGCCATGTGGGTCTGGAGAAGAAAATCACAGAAATTACAGCAAATTAGTGGCAATGAATACAGATTTCACTTCTGAAATACTGTCTTTTCATTAGCAAATTATTCAAGCAGAAGCATAAGTGGTTTTAGTCGTGTATCCAAAGCCAGCCAGACTGAAAGCACCTCTCATACTGACTGAATTCCTACAAGGAATCCAAAACAACTTTTGGGACTAAGGTGCATCCATTATTAATTATAAACAATTTTACTTTAGAAACTTCTGGGTTTTGATCTCATATAGGAATTAAAAGGCCCTTAACATCACATCATATTTCTTTTATTTATCCAAATGAAGTACTTTGAATATACTATATCTACTTCTGTGAGTATACTGACAGGTCTTTGCAGAAAAAGGGCAGGGATTTTAGTAATCTTAGACTGTTTGCCTCAGATATAAACTCTTTAGTTAAGGAACTTGTTTAAATTGCTCAGTACAGGTTTCCCTTGCTTCATGCAGGTTCTGTATGTGTGAATTTGCTCTTATGTGATGACCCTTTTTATACCAAAAAATCATTATATGCGAGGTAAATTCACTCTTATGCAATCCATGTGGTGAAAGCTGCTTTGTGCTGTGCATTGTGGGAGTGATGCACACCCAAATATAGTCTTCTGTGTGCATCTGTGCTCCTCGCTTGTTGTCTGCAACACGTGTTTCTGTAGTTGCCATCCCCATTATGATAGTGCCTTGTGCTTGTGTGTACTGTCTGCTGTTGGCAAGTACCAAAACCGTCCTGTAAAAGGGGTAGAAATGGGTCTGGGGGTCAGTACAGTCAACGTCTTGAAACGTCTCCGATATTTGTTACATTGTAAAGTGGATTCCCTTTATGCGAATTTGAGTTATGCACCATTTTCCAGGAATGCATGTACAGCATAAAGCAAAGGAAACCTGTATTTGAAAAATGTGGTAATTTTCAGGATTGCCAACCCCAAATGTTCAAAAAATCATAAATCAGGCTACAAAAGTCATGTGACTAGTGTGAAAATTATGAGTGTTAAAAAGAATAAATTCGGAGTGCTTTTTCTTTGCCTTCTGGTTTCTGAGCCTTTAGTGCTTAAAACCTTGTCTGCAGCAATGAGAGCTGTCACATTAACCTAAAAAAATAGAAGCTGACCTTTACACCTACCTATTCATGTGTTTTCAGGAGTTGAAGCATTATGAAAAAGCCCTAAATATTATGCGACTTGCTATAAAATTATGAGCTGACAATGTTTAATTGGTAAATTTTGAGGGGGGAAAAAAATCAAAATAATTTTGAACCCTTTCACATGTCATTTAGTAGCCAACTACAAGTTCTCAGAATCCAATAGTTATGAAAAACTGTTATTCTAATGGATATTCTGAAAGGTTTTAATTTATTTATATGCATAAATATAGTTAAAATACCCTCACTAAGGGGCTTACCAAATGTCAGTGTTTACAAAAAAAGGAAGTCTTGACCAAACAGTCAAAGGCAACTATGCTTATAATCAACTATCACAGATAGCCATTGATGCTTTTATCACCAGGTGTTTTCTCCTAAGGATGAAATAGGCATAAGTAGATACATATGTAAATTAAAGATGAAATATACCAAGAGGGTAGCCAGTCTTCACTGATCAAGCAAATATTGGTGAATGGTATAGACGAGCAGCACTGTTAACTAATTATTAGCATTGCTAGAAGTCTAACAAATGCGATCCTAGTGTGTTAAATGCTTTACATTTATATAAAGCAGTGGTGCTCAGACCTTTCGGCCTTGTGGGCTGGATGACAGGCACGGGGCCATTCTGTTTGTCCAATCTAGTACAGAGCCACACTATCCAGCCCACTGGGATTTCCATAGGTCCAGAAATCTGACAGTTGGGGAGTGGCAATTAACACTGCACTGTTCCCCCACCCCCAACCTGTTGGAACTGTGGGGATCATCGCAGGCTGGATGACATGTCTTCATGGGCTGGACCTGGACAACAGGCTGGGGGTTGAACACTTCTTCTATAAACAATAGCACAAATATATCCTTCAGAAAAGCAAAAGGCTTACACACCCCACACCCCCATTAAAAGCAAATAGTCTCTTTAATACTTTGTTTCCCTTTACCATTGTTTTCTGGTCTGCCCAAATTAGGCCATGGAAGGTAGCATAAACCCCATTGTTAGAAACATGTAAAGTAACTATAGCTCAAACAGAACTTTGGAGATTAAAATTTATTTTAAAAATTCCCTACAGTGCACTACAGAGATTAACTCAATGACTTGCTATCTTGATCATCTCCAATTTCTATGATTCTTGCTCAGAGGCTTAAGGACTTGTGTAAAGAAATTTTATAACTAGACGAATGGGCTTGCCTGTCAAGAAAACTACAAGCATTTGAGAATCCTGGTCAAGCATAACGGCCTATATGATCCCAAATGCCTATTTCCCTATATGCCACCCCCAGTCAGAGACCTTGAGTTTGAGGAGAATTGATTCTTAAAGCATGATTTCAGATATTTTAACACATCCTTTATATGATGAAATTCCAGAGTCAGTGACCTACAAAAGGATAAGAGCTTCTTTTGGACCTTTACTTTACAATGGAAATTTCAAGGGGCAACCCAGAGATTTAAGAAAAAAATTAGCCACAAAGTCTGTTAACCAACTGGATTACAGTAATTTTAATTCAAATTCCACACCTGACCAGTCACATTCTTGAGACAGGACAGTACCACATATGAAGTTTTCACTTGGTATACGTCCCTTGTAAGCTTTTAAACCAGTCAGGATACATTTATATTGCAGTCACTGCTAGCTTCAATCTAGTGACCTTGGGTAGTACTTAGGGTTACCACACGTCCGGGTTTCCCCAGACATGTCCTTTTTTTTGGCCCCGTGCTGTGTCCAGGTGGGTTTTTAAAATAAGAGCAAAATGTCCAGGTTTTTTGCTGTTCTTCTGCCCTCCTATGCCAGCTGCTTACAGAGGAACAGAGCAGAGGAACAGCAAAAAATAGCCAGGGGGAGGGAGGGAGGGAGGGAGAGTGAGATAGCAATGCAGGAGCTGCTTGGGCAGCAGGGTTGGGAGTGAGGGGCATCACTAGGTAGGGGGGCCTGTGGGTGGGGAGTGAGGGGCACCAGCAGGGTTTGGGGGGGGGCAGGGGCTGCAGGTAGGGAGTGAGGGGCACAGGGGATGGGATGGGTGATTGTGGGTTGGGTGTGCCAGGCACTGGAAGCACCAGGGACTGCGGGTTCAGAGTGAAGGGCGCCAAGAGGTAGGGGCCAGGGTACTGCTGTTTGGGAGGGAGGGGCACTGGTAGTGCTGGGGTCAGTGGGTCCAGAGTGAGGGGCAACAGCAGGGCTGGGAGCGGGGGTAGGTGGCTTGTCAGTGAGGGGCAAAAGAATGGACAGGGCACCCCTCCCCCCATCATCATATTCTCCCCCCCTCCTGCCCCCCCCACCCCCAGTGACAGGTGTCCTCTTTTTTGGACCTAGAAATATGGTAACCCTAGTAGTATTGACAATACACTTGAGCTAGTACAGAACTCAACACAGCTGCAAAACCTAGAGAACCTGGGAAAATAATCAAGTGGCTAGTCTGTGTGAACTGCATGCTATGCAGCTGCATTATTAGCAGTACCTGACCTAACTAATTTAAAGCTAACTTGAGTAGATCTCCATGAGCTACAGGTGCAGCAGTGACTACAGTGTAGGCATACCCACAGGTATTTCTCCATACAGATGACATATCACCCAGAACTGGAAAAGATTATAAATATACAACACTACCTCTGAGAAACATCTACAGCCTCATTATAACAACCTCCACTTGTCATAATGAAAAAATGCAGTTCCTGCTGTTGCAATTGTTACAATATAGTGAACTGACTAACCCTATTATAGCAAACACCCTCTTCCAATGAACTTGTCTTACAATCCCATGGGGTTTCATTATAATTAGGTCATAATTTATTTTACATAGTCAACTGAGAACTTTGGTACAATAAAACATAACACAAGAAGTAGAGGCAGAGCTATTTTCAAAGTCTGAAACAAGACACAAGTTGAGTAATGGAAGATCTCAAGTTTGAGGCATGTATGGAGAACACAGATTAAGAGAGCTCTTAACACCTTCTAGACAGCTTCTGATATCAAATAATGGAGACTATAACACTGACTGGAAGATATACATAGAATAATTATTTTGAAGAAGCATATAAAAATAGTTTGCAACATGAAGGTATGTATAGTATATTACTGCAAAAAATGAAACTTATATTTAAAAGATTAAAAAGAGGATGTTATTCTTCTAGTGGTGTCAACTTTCCATTCATACAAATATTAAGCAGGGTATAATTTGTTTTTCATAGTTATTCACATTATTGCTTGCTACCACAGCCATTAGAGGAGCAAATTATTAGCATACACTGTACAGTACTTTCATGTACAGTACTTTCAAATATATACTTAAAGATTGAGTAGCGATTAAAAGAAAAATGTGTGTGAAGATATGTACAACCAAGAGAGATAAGTTAAAGGAATTAAATACGACTGACCTGACCCAAGCATTACATCATGTATTCAGTTAAAAAAACATACCTGTGCAGAAAAAACTCTGTAAACCAGAATGAGCAGAAACCAAGGTTCAGTAAATAAAGTCTTCATTACTGTCCAGCATACCTGACTTGACTTTTTGAGCTACATAGCATCTGTTTGTATCTGCATTTTGACCTGAACTGTAATGTTCAAGATTTCTCTCAAACCCACTTGCGTACCAGGTAACTTTTTCTGAGCTACTGAAAGAGACTTTACTGGATAATAAATTTACTGAAACAATTATTTTGCACCCCTGTGTACAATAGCTGGTAAACAATAAGAGTAAAGCTGTTATATGGCATTAGCCTGTCGTACAATATATACATTAAGTTGCAATACTAGTGTATTTTTGTGATCCTGAGCTCTACAAATCACAAGATGCATGCAAATCCTTCAGTGTTTCTTCTAGTCTAAGTAAAATAATTATACTTCTGGTTTATTAACTATTAAAGTAGATCTTCCTCAGAACCAGCTGACAGGATCTCTTCATTAAACAGTAAAGAGACTTGTAATGGTGCAGTGACATCTGGGTTCGAAAAAATATAGTTTCAAAGCAAATGCATCTCACTATACAAACTGGAGGTGGCTGACTGATATCCCAAAGGAAATAAAAATTATGACTGGAATGTCACTGGCAAAATTTGGGGAGGTTTATAGAAGTTTTACTGAGGTACATCATTAAAACTTATACAATTTACAATCAAATGATTAAATTATTTTCAGGGGGGAAAATACCTGCTGACTTGTAGACTATTTCAGCTGTATTTTTATATTTTTATATATAGTTACACACACGCGACTGAAAAAAATCAAGATACATGAACAAACAGAAAAAGTACAAGTAATAACTTAAGTAGTATTTAACATTTGCATGAAATGACTTTTGCAAAGTTTGACAAAATGCACTTAGAACATGCTGTTATTAAAAACCAAAATGAAGAACAAAAACACCACAAGATTCTGTAGAACCAATGCTATGTCACCACCAGGAGAGCACCAAGCAAGGCACCATTGGAAAAGACAACATACTTGAGTAAGTCTCTGTAAATAAATGCTAATCTGGTCGAAAAATTGGTGTCTTTGGTAAAAATTCTATAAGGATGACCTGTGTAAAAAGAAAAAAAAAATTAAATAGACTTGGAATTAATCCTATAAACTAGCTGAAGTGTAATACAGCATCCAATCAAAATTTGTTCAAGTTTATCAAAAACTATGGGGAAAGGAACAATCAAAGCCCATGCCACCCTCCTTGGGTAGGGGGTCATTAGTAAGTGATGCACACAGCATGTGCCTATCTAAGAGCAGTAAACTATAATACCCAAACTATAATAATGGGGGAGAGGAACATGGCTCACAGGTCACTAGACACATTAAAGTATGCCACCAGCTAATTATTCTTTAACAAACTCAGTTATCTGGCTCATAAGTTTTCTGTAAAAAACTAATGTCTATATTTTGTTAAGAGAGAAGATGAATACATGAGAATAACTCTGCAACCACATTATAAATATTCTCTCAGTTCAAATTAATTTAGCAATGTATTCATTATTATAAAGCTATGCTTACAGTTTTGATCATTTTCCATAAAAAGTCTGATTACTGTTCCACTAATCTCCTATCTCCTTATGCATGTCAAGACTGTCCACCTCTATCTCAGACAAGCTCTTGTAGGTAATAAGAAACTTGGTTCATGTTTCAGCATGAAAATACAGGGCAGGATTCTATCGAAATTCCATGGAGTATTTTGTATGCCATGTTGACACTTTGAGATGAGAGACCTCAAATAAAATATAGGTGAATACAGTTTAAATCTATGTATTTGGAAGAGCATCTTAAGGAAACAGCCTTTCATGAAAATGTTCCTTTTGCAAAGAGATGTCTATAAATATACAGACACAGTAAACTGGGATTCTTAACATTCTTCTTGGACTGACATTTCCAGAATAACTTAACTATGAATTTAACACACACTGCTTGCCTTTCATCTAAGTTTATTTCTTATATGAAATATATTTAAGACATTTAATTTTAAAGATACACATTTTTACTGTTAAACATTCATATAAAAAGCCTATTACCTGAAAAACATAACAGAGAGATTTGAGAGCATGGGGGGAAATGTACAACTGGCAGTTTAGAGGATATTTCCTTTTTTTTTAGTTCATGAAATGCCAAGAAAGCTCTAATTTGATCAATGAAGTTAAGACTTTTTTAAATTAGGTGCTTTGAAGTTTGGTTTCTGAATCTATATTATTATATAAAGGTGGCTTTGTATCAAAAATGCCAAACTCCCAGCATCTCCACTGACTAAGTGATGGATATGTGTTCCACATTTTGAAATTCACCCCTACATTTCAAACTCCAGCAACCTACAAAAGTGCAAGTCATTGTTTACATGGGTATATGGAAAGCACCTTGCTCATTGTTTAGTATTATACATTTGGATAAAACCCCTTATGTGATCAAGGTCAACTGAGATGCCTAAACATGAAGTCAGGAGAGTAATGAAATAGTAGGTTCATTTTCCCCCGTTATTTTTTAATACAATTACTTTGAGATCAGTATATTACTAGCTGCTAACTAAAGAGTAGAGCAAAGGAATTCTGTGAAAAATTAGGTCTGAGAAATTTAATTCACACTAAATACATCTGCAGAAAACTTGTTAGCAGTTTTAGAAATTGTTTTTCTTCACCCTTAGTCCCTGATCTTGTGAACACTTATGCTCAACTTATATAGACCAAATGGTTTTATACCGAAATCAACACAATGTTCACTATATGAAGAATAACATTACTTTCTTATAAGTTCATCTTAAAAACATTAGGTTTCAGATATGGTAAGCCATATTCCAAAGTGAATTTTTAAAAATAGTCTCTTATGCTTCCAGTTTAACTGGCAAAAGACTTGGGGGGAGGGGACTATGACAAGTACTTGCTGTAGAAAGAAGGTAGTCTTCAGCGATGAAAAACAGGAGCGTGTTCATATAGGTCAAGATCAAAACGGGATATTAAAATTTGCCTTTTTCTGGTTATAGCGAAGTATCTCATGTCTCATCATAAATTAACATGCTTTATATAAAAGATAATAATATAAAAATGTACTTATTCAGTTCACTGAATAGAGCTATTCTATGAAAAGAGGCATTTAAAAAATCTTCTATATTTCAGGTTAGAAATAGGACTTAGTTTGAAATGGAAGAAAGGGGAAAGGCTAACAGAGAAGATGATTTTAAGATAATTTCTAACTATTTAATCACTGTTTTAATCAATCTTTTTATATGCGGCTGCTTATGATGGCTGCATTGTTTCAAAGAATAGACAAAATATCATATAATAAAACACCATAGATAAGTTAGAAATGCAAACTAGGTATCTCGCCAAGGTTAGTCTTTACTTTAAAGAGTTAACCCTTTCCTGCTCTCACTTTTCACAATTAAAAAAACCCAAAACCTTAGCTGTTCAAATGATATAGTTTTAGCAAATTAATCCGCCCCAAGCATTTTCCTCCAACTACCCATAAAATGGTTAAAACAGTCATGAAAAGTTCTATGCCATTAAGTGGCACAGAACTTTTTAATATATACACTTTTTAGAGAATAAAGGAACTGGGGAGTCTGTTACAGCTGACTATTAAGATGACTTACAAAAAATATTTTAGTTATGCTATTAAAAGATAAAGATACTTTCAAGACACTTGAGATATGGGGTAGTTAAAACCTAAAAAGGGTAAAGGTTTTTTAAGCTCCAACAGCTTAGTTGAAAGTTCTTCTTCCATACTTTTAGACTTGATTAGCATTATATAAAACAGCCATATCTGACTTGCTGCGTAACCAAAGTTGCAGTTATTCTTTATACAGCATCTAAAATTTCACACTCCATCAGCACATGTTCAAGCTATTTTATCTTGGCAATTAATTTATTATTTTTCAGAACACAGTGAAGCCTTGTTTTCAAGTCATTCATAACTTTATAAATCAGCCCTGCACATGAAACCATGCATCTGTGAACCGTAGAAAATCCTTGCACTCAGGCGATTAAGCTCTTGACACCTTTACTGATTAATAATCATGAAAAGAATAAGATCAGAAGCAAAATAAATGATCATTTAATAGAGAAACTCACAAAACAGCCCTTTAACTTACATATTCCATCATGTTATTCGTTTCACATTTCCTTTTGCTCAGTCTCCAATGCAAGCACAGCTAGACAAGGAGGAAAGAAAAAGAAGAAAAATGAGCTGTATTTTATTGCAGCACACAGACTAGCCCATTTGTCCACCTTTCATATTTTTTGTTCAACAAAAGCATCTGTTTCCATACTGTGCAATTCAGACTCCAACAGTACGAAGCTGCTCCCTGCGGTACTCACCTTGTGGTATAACCTATTGTTTTCCCATTCTAATAACTTCTCAATCGATCTTCGTGTCTGGAAGACAAATGAGAAAGAATTTTACTCTTGACTGGTTTTAGAAAAACTTTGTTTTGCAGCTGCTTTTGTGTGAAAAGGAGAGAGGTACAGGACATTGAATAAGTACAGGGTGGTCTGCAGCACTATCAAAGCTTCTCAGTATTAAACAGTAACTAGAACAGAGATGACCTTTTTAAGAAACAAAAGCAACTAACTATGGGATTGTGGAAAAAAAAGTGTTCCAACTTTTGAGTAGAACTGCTCATAAATACATTTTAATTACATGAAGATCAATTTGGCCTTAACCTCTTATAAGTGTACTTCACAGCAATTTTCAAACAATTGTTAAGCATAAAAATAAAGTTACCCAATCCCATTAATTTGACTATGTTGCTTCTAAAAAGGTCATCATTTGGATAAGTGACAGCTGCTTTAAACTGTATTTTGCAATAAGAGGTCAAGTATAAATACCTAATATTCTATGAGCAATACATAAAAGAAATTATCCTTGTAACTCTAGCTCTGAACACCAGATAATCCTGGAAATGCAAATACAGAAAGTTCTGATAACCTATAAACACTTAAAACCAACAGTGAAGATCCCAAAGCTCTAAATCTTTGATCACCTAAACTTTCACACGTGACATTTTTGGCAAAGAATACCAAAATATTTTAAAGTCTAAACCTTGAAATCTTTTAAAGTTGAAATTTGCACATATGCAAAAATATTAATGGAAAGTAGGTCACACTTTTGCAGTAAAACTTCACAGTATCTTGTGTATATTTACATTTTAGAAATGTTCTCTGACATTTATGGTCATTTGGCAGCCACAATATATGCTACTCAGCCCTAAATGGGATTTACTAGCAGTATGAATAAAGAAGGATAATTCATGAAGCCAGGTGTTAAAGATGAGATGGACAGAACTGCAGGTGCAAAAGAACGGAGCAATGACAAGGATCAAATGCAACTTAGTGCAGCTGCAGCCTCCTTACAAGGCAAAGGGGGGGTTTAGGGGAGCATCTTGCTGTTACTGCTCCCAAAGAGAGACATTGTAAACAAACACTAACAATCAAACTGAAAATCTGTCACGCAGGAATTCTGTGAACCAAATCAAAACTAACAGCAGCTTTCACTGGTTTAGCATTTCAAAAGAAAAAAAAATGTTCATATAAAAATTTATTATTGACTCTCTAGTTATCATGCAGTCTTTCAATATTAAACAAAATGATTAAGCCTGAGCTATGGTCACATGATTAAAAAAATTATTGTTATCTATGAATAATCATTATCAACATGTGTTTTTACTACATTATATATTAAAAGTGGGAGTCAAAAGAGCTCTAAAAATAGGCTGTGTCAGTGACTAATTTATTGCATTAATTTTTGGAATTAAGGTTTTGGGAGTTATTACTACCTTTTTTAAAAGCAGTGCCCTTTAACAATGATCAGCAGACCTCACTTGTTTCTTTGTAAAGATAGCCTTTTAGAGTCTGCTCCCCTTTTAAATGAAAATAGGGCAGCAGTTATGGTCACACTTTTGTTAATTTAGTTGCCAGTCAGCTCCAAATCAAAAGAAAATAAGGCTGCAGAGTGTAATTAACATTCAGTTCAGTCGTTTTGTCCCTTGTCTAGCCCCCAAGCTTTGTTAAAATTGCCATCTGAATGCTGAAGGCTGTAGGGAAGGTAAATCGATTTGATTCTAATCGCACCATGAAAAGAACATGATCTAACTGCTTTCAGCCCTCCGTAAATCTGTACTAGGTCTTTAGCACAATGCAACTTCCAATTTAAAAAGCACTGAATGTCTCGTCAATGACTTTGTGAAGAAAAAAGAACAAGGAGCAGACATAAAAATTCCAATAGTTGTTTAAGCATTAAAGTTCATTTGCATCACAGCAAACCTGAAAAGGGCTGACCTCTCAAACCGCCTCTCAGGTCTATGAAGTTGTAGCCTTGACAAGCTCACATTGACAGAGCTCATTGACTCTGAAAGGCTACTCTATCAATGGTGAAAAATGGCAATAGGTTCTACTCTGAGCAGGCATCTGCCTGCCCACCCGCTGCTAAACCAATGGCAAAACTGATTCAAAACCTGAATCTACCTTGTAATCTGCTTTTCTAGGACCTTTTAATAACAGATTAAGATCAGTATACAATTTGATGTTACCACTTGCCTGGAAAAAAAAAAGAGTGGGAAAAACAATTCAAGCATTGCAAATGAATGAAATTACTTATTTTATACGCACATTCATACAAACAAGCTGACAGGCTAGTGATGCAGAATTAATCAGTTTATTTGAAACAGTAATCTGTAAGCGACTCTGCACCTGATTTTAAATTATTCTAATGCTAACATTTTGCATACAATAAATTACAATATTGCTGAGACCCTCCTGTACACCTATGCAAAAGTGCCCCATAAGCCATTACATTCCTCAGCCCTTAATATATTCCTCCTATAAACTTCACATTCTTGTAATTATGCCTTGTGATATTTTAAATTCCTAGGCCAACACCAAATTATAAGTATATAAATGTAAATGAAATTTAGATGTAAAGCATTTCTGCAAACTTTGCCACTTGGAGTAAAAGTGAATTAAACAGCAACACACAATTCTCTATAGTAAGTTTTCTTTCCTACTTGACAGGTGAAAAAAAGCACTTGCACGTGCAGCTTAATTAATCATTGCACTTGACATCTCAATGATTTACAGTGAGGAGCAGGTGAGGACATACAAAACCAGAAAGGAGCCCTTGATTTGAGTGTAACATTTTCAGCACACTGGGATGACAAGCATATAGACTCTATCAATGGTGTACAGAAAAACCTATACAGCAAATTATTTGTTAGCAACAACAAAAGCACAAATTAAGTGGAAGAAAGCTTTCGTTATTAGGAAGATTTAATACTGGCAGTTTCTTAAGTTACTTTTTAAACAATATTTGAACAAAAATAAAATACTATTTCAAGCAGACAATGACTTTTTTTGTAAACTGCTGAAGATAAAACATTTTTGTTTTATAATGCACAACTGTGAGCAACAAAATGCCCTTTACTGTCCCCACCAGAGAATATTTTGTGGCATAATTTAAGTTCATCTTCAATTAATTATCAGACTGGAGCACATGAGACATTTTTGTGACTGGTCTGACTGGTAAAACATTCCTCTTTGATAGTATCCTTTGCAATGTTCCACCTTCAACCCTCAGGAAATGCCCAATCCAAATATACATGTAACAATTTGACGCTGCTCCCATTTAGGTCAATGGGTGTTTCACCATTCAATAATGGGAACAAAGGCAAAGCCCTTTAACCAGAATTTGTAAAATTATACTTTTTTCTTAAGTTTCATACTTTGTAAGTCTCGTGTACATGCATGTCAAGGCAGCAGCAATCTTCAACAAAAGATTATCTAATTGTACAATTGTGCTATATACTTATATAAAATTTAAATTATGTTGTCATTTTAAGATTGTTATATGCTTACAGCATTCAACCAAACTGGTCTCAAATCCTAGTTGGAGCCTCCAAGTATTAGCACAATTGAGTATTATATAGATTCTAACACTGGCTATTCAAGTGCCTCAATACACTGTATAAAATTTGAACAATGGCAATGGCAGCAATAATACAATTTTACCACTAATCATTAGTTTTGCTCACACACTTCAAGCAGTGATCGGGAAGTTCAGTCTCACTTTCTTCTGAAATTTCTAATACAGGTGCAAGTTGTAATGTAGCACATGCCCAACAAGGACTGTTCCCACACCGCTTATTTTAAAGCTTTTTCCCCAGTTAAGTGATAATGATTTTGGTCTGCATCCTGCAGAAATTTCTGCATATGCTTCACTTCAAATATGCAAGTTACACAATGTAATTAGGACTTTACAGAACTGTGGCAGTTGCTGCTACTCATATGGACAAATTGATGGATTTGTGCTAAATCCTGAGAAAGGCGCCATATGTTATTGATATCACTGAACTATGCCACTTACTTTCATTCTAAAAAAGCTAATCATGCAAGTATAGAAAATGCTGTAGCCAGAAATCGATCATGCAAGAAGGAAATGCACAAGAATGCTGTAGTTTGACTTGATTTTGTGACCATGCACATGCATCATTGCAGGGAATTAGCAGTCAGCATTTAGCTCTGGAGGAGGCAATCTCCAGGTTTGTGTAGTGTACCGAGTAAGGGAGGTCTGTGAAATTTGGGGGCACAACTGGCCCAAAAGATAAATCAAGGCTTCACACTTGAAGTGGTTACTTCTGATTCCTTTGGTTTTAGCTATTTGTATTGCTAGGCTGCTTACCTGAACACTTTACATTAGAAAGCGCGCACATACTTACTGGGAAAAGTTTTGCATGTTTTCTAGTATCACAGTTGCCAAGAATTTACAGGAATTGCTACCAGATATGTACTATGTAGTAATGTGACAGATATGTACTAATCTTCTCTATATCCTCCCAGCTACAGTTCTCCTACTTGCCTCCCTATGACACTTCCTAGACCTTAAATGCTGGAGGCTGCAAGTGAGAGAGGAAGGGCGTGGGGGGGGGGGAAAGGAATTCTGGTCTTATACAGTTTACTTTCCCTTTCAGCATCCACTCTCTGCCAGTCTGATATAGGATACTGGGCAAAATGGACCTATGGACTGACCCAGTAAATGGCAATTCTTATATTCTTATGAACATCCACATAGGTCATTATCCAGTAGCTCCAATCCTCAGCATGTGCTTTCCAGAATTCCTGCCATTCATCTCTTCTCTATTATCAAGGTAACCTGGGAACACTTAAAACCTCAATGTACTCAAGAAACAGGGCATGCTAGGCTTGATCTAGAAGGCCAGGGTGAGAAATAGAATGCAGAGGATCCCACATTCAACAAAGCATACCTTCCTCTTGCTTTGCTTACTCCATTTGAAATAACCTCCTTAATTACATCCTTCCCCCATGCTCAAGCACTACCTCTTATTCTCTCAATAAGACCAAGGTCTCCATACTTCACAGCCAAG